TACTTTGATATTTGAAATTCAATCTTTAATGCGAAACGATTTTAAAAGGCAAAACCAAAATCAAGAAGAACACGATACGTACACGACATAGTGCAGGAATCAACGATCGCTAGGTTGTGTGGCCATAAAAACTGAAGAATGAATCCGCAGTTTATTAACGCAAATGAAAAGGGGAAAACTTAAAAAAAAAAAAAAGGTGTAAATTGATTTAACTAAATCGTCGTATTAATGTTAAACAAGGAAACAATAAAGGAATTTTCCAATTTTTTATAAACAAATTTCTTCGTACACTATTAAGAACTGTATCATATAAAAAGGAGAGAAAATCTCAAAGCTAAAAAAAAAAAAATTAGCAAGTGATTGTAAAAGAAGAAGAAGTGAAAAACACGAAAAGATCAATAAAACGTTCACTTCACACCGTATTACTTAACTTGGCTTTGTGCGTGGTATGCCTAAGACGTCGAATCAATAATTGACATTTCTTTTGTGTTATTTTTCCTTAACATTAAATAATTTTTTTTTTATTTTAAAATCTATAATTTATTAAAAATTCTTTTAGCTGCGGCGATGCGCATCGACGTGGTTGCTAGTTTTGGTAAGTTTTTTTTTTTTTTATAAATTTGTTTAATAACCATTGTTAATTTTAAAAATTTGTTTTTGTTTTGTAATATTGAAATAATGCATTATAACACTTTCTATGGAAAAATAAAAAAAAAAAAGAAATAAATGTATTATTATTAAATGTTAAAATACTGGTAAGACTTCCTGGGAGTGACGGAGGGGCGAGGGAAAAGTAGTATGATTAGGGCATAGATTTATATTAGTCGAAAATTTCAAAATTTTTAATAAGCAAGTTTTCATTTAAAATAGTGAAATATTGTGGCGAAAGAAGAACCTATCATGCATCTGAATACATTTTATTTGGACCGATCCCATTCGACGTGCCAGGCCGGAAAACATGCGAATAAAAAAGAAGAGAAAAAAAAATAAATAATTCCATCCGTTACATATTTATTAGTTTTGGCGCCCAACGTGGGGCCCACAAATTAATTCCATCCGTAATATCTCATACCATCGAGATGTACATAGTGGGTTCCGAAATATTCTGGATAAAAATTTGTTCTATTTCATTGTATTAAATTACTTGTAAGCATTACTAAAATATAAATAACGAGTTTGTTGTTACACCATATTTTACATTAATAGAAATTTTGATAAGCAAATTCAGGAATGGAAATTACTCTTACAAGAGTTGCTATTAGAAACCACCTGAATTAACTTATCTTGTTATTTTTAATTTTAATTTTTATTTTTATTTTTTTTTTGTTGTTTTACTCAGAGTACTGCTCAAACTGAGAAATTCAGATTAACATATTTATTCTGCACTCATTGGGATAGTACTCTGAAATTTGATGTTTTCTATTGGAATCTTTTGGATTGATTTGCGATTCATGCCACAAAAATAAAAAAAAATAAAAAATTTAGATGTCTATCATGTATTGTTTTGATTCTGTTGGAAGTCGAACCAGTAACAATATTTTACGTAATATTTAATTTTTGTCGATTTTTGTTAATAATCAGTTGTGGTTTTCCCTTTTTGATTTACATCCTTAATGGTGAAATTTTAATTTAAAAAAAAAAAATGCCACTCAATTATATCGAACAATCCGGTATAATTCATACATCTTCTCCTAATTGCAATTTATGCAATAACAATGTGAATACAAAGTCTTGTCATATTAAGACCGGTTGTGAGCACTTCTTTCATAAGAATTGTTTTAATCAATATATTGAAAACAATTAAAATTGTCCTCAATGTGGTGTCGCATTGACATCACACATTCCACAAAGAATAATCCAAACAGTCAAAGACAAATGATTACTAGACAACGAACGCGTAATCAAAATTTAGAAACCGAAGCATTACAATCAGAACAAATAATAAATGTTGGGGTAACTGATGATGAAAAAAAGTAGAATTAATAAATTAGTTTCAGTTGCCGTGATTGCACAGCAAACACAGTTGTTTAGCGAGCTTAAGTAGCAAATCACTACTTTGGTTCAATCTACACAGAATGCCTAGCTTTGAAACAAGACACAATATTACTCAATTACCATCTGTACAAGGAAGTGAGCAAACTCTAAATCAATTATTAGGAATAAATAATTTAAATACTAATGAATGAAATTCACATCACGGATTTAGCAATCAATCAACGAATACCGTAACTCTTGCATCGGGCAAAATAGGCCATATAATCTACAATTGGAAAATACGATTTTCAGGTGAATTATCGGGCTTATCGGTCGAAGCATTTGGGCTTTAACTTATTGTGCAGACATGCCAGCATACTTTTTGATGGTAAGGCAGCGGATTGATATTGGCGTTACCGTCGTTCAGTATCGGAAATTAGAAAGGAATGAACTGAGCGTTGCATTGAAGGCTCAATATACGGGCACGCGAACTGGCATGGATTATCGTGAATTAATCTGGGATAGGAAGCAGAAAAACAGAGGGAGAGCTTTGACTCATTCTATGAATCCATTCTGCAGTTGGTAGATTGCTTAGACAGACCAACCAATTCCGGAAGTTACGTTAGTGGAAATCCTTCGAAGGAACCTTTTACCGGAAATACAGCTTCTGTCTATTCGGTTGCACATTTGCGGGAAATTTGTAGAAAACGCGAATTATTAGATAGTGCTCAAGATGTTGACAAGTGTTGTGGAAAACTAAACGAGCTTGGACTAGTTTGCTGGAATTGTCAAAAGACTGGACATCGTTATCATGATTGTTGTACAAAACGAAATATTTTCTGTTATGGTTGCGGTACACCCAATGTTTATAAACTTAATTGTCAAAAATGCAACTTATCAAAAACGAAGTCACTGTCAAAGATGCTTATCCTTTGCCTCATATAGACGGCATACTTAGCAGATTACCTAAAGCTTCTTTTATTACTGCACTTGATCTCAAAGACGCCTTTTGACAAATACCTCTACATACCTGTTCTAGAGACAAAACAGCGTTTACTGTTTCAGGAAGACCATTGTATCAATTCACTGTTATGCCATTGTTGGTATACAATGGGATCAATTTTTGCAAACATTTTTCCACAAATACACGTATGTTTCTTCGCGGCTTGTTTTTGGCGTCATGCGGTAAAGGAGAAAAGATCGTCATGCTGCCCAATTATAAATAATAGTTCACCAGTCATCCTTAGGGACGCGATAAGTCTCATTATCACTTCGTATGGTTTGAACAACATCTGCATAGTATGGTATAATATAATAAGAGTCATCTGCGAGTCGTAATTTGTAAATCAACCAAAATAATATCAACTAATTGGCCAATAACGAAACAGCCCAATATGCTGACTTTTAACAAACCTTTGCCAAATGTAATTTTGAAGATGAAAATCGAGTCAAATTGAACGCAAATGTGGTCTTGCACGCTGTTGATTTCATTGTTCGTTCAGTTAAATAGCTTTTCCCATTATTGCGAGAAAAGCAAACAGAAAAGACTTAAGCAAAAAACTGATCAGATAATGATTTTTATCAAATCTAAAAAAACATTAGTTTAAGAATTTTCTCGAAGCTAAGCGTTGGAAATATGCTGCCGTTAGCTGTTTTTTTTTTCTAAGTGTCAGACAGATATATATCACGAGTTTTCGTCAAGTAAGCGAAAGAAGTAAAGAACAAGAAGAAGAAGGAAAGTATTCTTCACACGGAAATCACACGTTGAGCACAATCAATGCCGATTTACAATCAAGCTGTTACAAAAAATTCACTAACACTTTCAATAAAGATCATCATGCTACTAAGGATTCCAGCATAGACACGCCCATATCTTGTATTATTACACTTGTATATACAATTGATATATATCGCCAATAACGATTGTATGCAAAAGCAATCAAAGGCAATGGCTAATATAACAACAACAAGTACATACAACTATATGTATATGGCGGCGTAGATATTTGTTATTATATGCCGCTAATTTTTTGTGACTTATGTTACGGATCATCTAGAAATGTCTACAATCCATTGCTCTAGAATTGAAAACTAGCGTTCAAAATCGAAATAATATGAAATAAACTAATAATTAGATGAAATGATCACCAGCTATAAAGATTTTTCTTTTTTTCTTTTGGTTTTATTGCAATCATGTTTATTACATAATGATCTGGGAAAATTACCGGAAGTATTACACCGTAAAGAAATTCACTAGGAATTCACTAGGCTTGCCACAGACGATATAAAGAGAGACCGACTGACCAAGGGCATGTTTTTTACATTTTTTTTTTTTTTTTTCATTTATTATTTATTTACAACTATGGACTAAGATAAATTGATAAATAATTATTATTATTTTCTTTTGCATTTTACCATTACAAAGACAGGTTTCATACTTTATGCAGGAACGTATTTTGGCAACACATTCCTGTTTTTTTGCCCATGTTATATACCATTAAAGAAATAGAACCAAATATGAAATGATTTATTACTTGTAAGCACATTATTTTTTTTTTATATAAGATGATATATGATTTTGAAAATTAAATAGAATAATAATCCAAAATATTCAAAATATATGTGACGGCTAAATGAAAGAAACTATAGCTCACATATCAAATGAAATTGATGAAAATAATGAGAAACGCACTCACCAGTCATTCATTTTTATTTTTGATAAATTTATTTGGCAAAAACACATTTAAAATAAAAAATTTAAGAAAATATGATTTCATAATGAATCTAAATAACTAATTTTTTTGCTTTTTTTTACTACTTTCATTTACAACTGTTGCGATATGTGGGTAATATAAGCACAGCAACAAGTGTTGCTGTTGTTCTTGTTGTATATACTTATACATATGTACAATGCTGGAAACGAGCGTCATTTTAAATAAAAATAACAATGACTGAAGAGTAAGTTTTACAATTTTTTTATTAATTTTGATTTAATAATAAAATGGTTTTTTTTTTTGTAGGCAAACGCGAAACCAGGGACGAGTGGCGCAATGACCGCCGCAATGTCGACGGAATTCGGAGTGTAATCCACCCAACCAAAGATGATGAGCTGTCGAAACGAGATGACGGCGCCGAAAATCGGGAACAATCGCCGCCTACGTGAACAATATTACTTGAAAATTTGATAGAAATATCTTTTCTTCTTGGAGTGAGATCTTATTGTTTATAGGAAAGCAACTCTGTGCTCTTTTCATATATGCTCTTCTGCAGAAATTTGTAAAAATGCCAACCAAGTGAGAATAAGCGTATATGTTTGTTTACACTTTTCAATAATTGAACATGTATTTGTATAATCATAGCATCAATTACCGTAATGATGTGTATGATCGGGCAAACGCTACCAATATCGGTTCCACATCCTCAAATACCACCACTGCAAGTAGCGGTGGCAATAATTACGATATACCCAGATCAATACGCTCAGCTCTGGGTTTCAGACGCAATTTTCAATTGGATTTACACGCAGGTAATCAAAAAAAAAATTATTAAAATTTCTAAACTGAAATCCTATTTGCTTGCAGCAAATCCTCGGTTTAATGCTTTACGTTGTAATGGTATATCCTGAATGGGAATACTGAACGCCTACGGTAGTTCTTGTCAACGTCAGCACACGAATCTCAAAATTATTGGAATTTAAACAACTATCCTGCACCGACTATGAGAGATACGAGAATATTTATGAGCAAATACGCGACGAGCCAGTTTATCGCAACACCAGCAGCACAGGCTCCTCTACGTTATCTAACGGCGGTTCTGCCTTGACTGCTTCCAACTCGAAAGACACCGGCAACGTAAGGAATAGTGCGTCGTCCTTTTAACAGTGGGGTGGGATCAGCACGGTATAGTGTATTACGAGCCGCTAAAATGAATGAAAGTTTTACTGCTGACATCTACCAATGTCAATTGAACAAATTGAACGAAATTTTGTTGCCAAATAAGAAGCAACAGTGGTTAACGGAGACAAAGTTGCACGATAGGTTCAGGTATCAGTCAAGTATTTAGGAAAAATTTGTCTCAGGATGATTTGGCGGAGGATGAAGGTTGCTTTTACTGCTTTACAGAAGGGATATTGCTTTCATCGTTTGTAGTTTATAGACTTTTTCTTTTAGGTTATATTTTTCTCACAATATATATATTTATTTATAAATCTCTTTATATTTTCTTTAGATACTTTAATTTACAAATTATTTGAATAACTATTAAAAAATATAATTTTTCTCGTGTGTACAAATAATTTCATGTATATACAAATACAAGTTCGTTAACGTGTATATGAGAGTGTATATGTAAATCGAATCATACAACTGTTTAAATTGTTTATAAACAAACAAACCACTAAACACCAACATTATTTCCAAGGTCCTTTCGTCAACAGCATTAACAACACAATATTTGGCCAAATTCTTTTCTTTTTTGTTTTTTAAATTATTTTGTCGTTTTCTTGATAATTTGGAATTTTTAAGGTTTACAATTAAAGGGCTTCTTCGATTTCTTATGTTTCTTTTTCTGGGTGCGTTGTAGTGCCGATGATTTGGCGTGATTTGGAACATTCAAATCGAACGATTCTCGCACCAATTTCAAGCTTTGTTCATGTTTGTCAGCAATTTGAGCTAATTGACTGCCTCGGCTACTTGTCGGATTGGAATTAAATTCAAAGGATGAGGCCCCCTCTGGTTCCATGTAGGCCTGTGACTGATAGTAATCAAAGTTAAGAACTGAAGCCAAGTCGCCAGCGTTCGGCATTACGCCCGGTACATCATTATCCTCTATAGGTTCATAAATGCTTTGATTAAGATACTGAGCAAATTGGCCAGCGGTCGTAACCGATGATAGATCAAGATTTTTATTGGAAAAATTCAGTAAATTGTTATTATTGTTGTTATTTTGAGTGGTTGTTGTGTTGATGCTATTGCTATTATTAAAGGCGTATGCAGCCAATGAACTTAAAGCTGTAGCATGATTAAGTTGGGTTGTGGCGGTGAGACGTTGCAGCACAAAAGTATCCACCAGAGCAGAAGCAGAACTTTGCCCTGGTCAGAATTTCAAATCCTTAATAGCTTGAGGTAAATCTGGCAGTTTAATATCTTTAATTTGCTGTGGAATGTTCATGCTTTTCACGGCACTCACGGCTCGAGCCGGTGCTGCCGATATGCCAGCTTCTTGTTTAACCAACTTATTTTGCTCCTCAATCCTTGCCATTATATCGCTCATATTTGTTTGCAAAACCATCCCACCCATTACCAATTCGGAAAGTATATGATGCACGGCATCAGCGTGAAAAATCAAATCCAATTCACAAACATTTTCAAAGCATTTATCCAAAGTCTCAACAAATACTTGAATCAAATCCAAAATACCTAATTCGCTCTCTGACGAGTCAACACAGAAGACAAAATATAAAGTTGCGTAGTGGCGATAAATAAGCTTGTAATCGGAACCTCCGATTAGGCTAAAAAACAAAGAGATTTATAAATCTTTTTATAAAACATGAGCATAAATAATAGCGATTTTTGTTTTTCTCACCTGCCCCCCTCTAAAAAGTTACAAACGTTATCGTCACGTTTCGATACCAATTGGAAAGTTTCTTTAATGATTTGCTGTTGCATGTCTTCGTTCTACGTAGCAAAGACAACAAACCCGATATTAATAAGATGTTTTTTGTTTAGAAAGACAGAAAATCAATACAAAATAATAAAATTTCAACACTTACAAAATATTGATAGAACTTGGAAAGGCGTGGTTTTCCATGGTTATTAAACACTAAAATCGCTTTAATCATTATGATATTAAAGGATCGAAAATAAAAGAAATTAATTTTAATACATTTGCAAGTAAATTTCTACTGTTGATGCGTTGAAATTACTTTTTGTTAAGAAAAAGTAATTCTTTATGTTTCTTGTTCTTATGAAGCAACACATATGTTGCCATATCGTAACAAAACAAGTGTAGTAAAAAACAGCTGATTCACGCAAATAAGTGTACACTTTGATTTCCTCATTAAGGTTTTATTCGTATCTTTTGTCGAATTACGCCTTGGCCATGTGTTTTCATCATGCTTTATCTCATTCATTTCCTTCATCTTTTTTCAATTTGCTGTTGTTTTTGTTGCTCTACGGTTTAAAGAAGTTTTGTCATCTGTTACTTGTTTTTTTATATTAAGACAAATTTTCCATATTTACCCGTTATCCAAACGAAAATTAAAACAGATTATTAAAGTCTTCACATCTTTTATTAAGCTGAGTATATAAGCTACACAAAGGAAAAAATCTCCGCATTTGCACCACTTCTTAGTTAAATTTTTAAATAAAAATTCGCAATAACATTTGATGGAGATCTTTGGAAAAAACGGAACATCTGGTCAACTAGTCCAACAGCCAATAGGTTACCGAGAAAAAATTAAAATAAATTTATTAGCTACCGAAAAATTTAAATGCAGGTAAGAAACAAAATAAAATTTTTACATGTACGCGCTAAAAGTTATTATCTCTCCCAGGGTTAGTACTGTTTTAAATAAGAACGTTAAGCAATACGGTAAACAATTCTTATACGATCATTTAGAAGATACATCTTGGAGTTCTAGTGAGGTACAAATCTATAATCAATCAATTAATAGACTAAGAAAATTTTGAAAATATTTAATAGGAAAATGTGTTCTACAGGGCTTACCACAATGGATAAACATCGAATTTGATGAACCGCAAACGGTTGGTGGATTCTCTTTTCAATTTCAAGGTGGCTTTGCAGCTAAGGAAGCTAAAGTTGAATTATATCCTTCAAAAGATTCGAGCCCCTACGAAGAGCCATTTTATGCTGAAGATATTAATGCAGTGCAAATGTTTAAACTAAAACATGCTCAATTTAACGTAGAACGTGTTAAATTTATTATTAATAGTAGTACGGACTTTTTCGGACGAATTATTGTTTACAAATTAGAATTATTTAAATAACACAAGGATTACCAAATTTATATTATTTTTTGTTTATTTTGGGTATTCTTGCGAACAGAGTTAACTTCACGTATTTATTAAATGAAAGTAATAGCGTATTTCGGTTTTCATTCGAAATACATGCAAGACCATTTACAACCTTCTATAATCTTCAACCCTACACATGGAGGTTATTAAATTGAAAATGAACTAAAATGCCAACAATTTTATTCGAATTTTAAGTTAATATATAAAGAAAGTGGATATTTTTAATAAAATATAATAATCTAACAGAACAGCTGCAGGAATTTTCAACTGGACGGTGCCTTCGACATGGCAATACCTTAATTCATTAAAGGCAAATGACAGCACTTTACAATCGTGAAACTCTCCAATGTCAATTAGGTTTGACGACCGGAAGTTACCGCACGAAATATAAAAATTTGCCTTTCCTTTCTCTCTTTCTTGCTAAAACGTGGAGAACAACTTATTGTTGTCAGAAATAATTAAAAGTAAAAAATTTTAAAGTTCTATGAAATGTGTTAATGTATTTTAAGAGGAATTTATTTTCTATTTTAGATGCCGCGTGAAATTAAAGAAGTAAAAGATTTCCTGAACAAAGCTCGCCGCCAAGATGCCCGTGCTGTAAAAATCAAAAAGAACCCCAATAACACAAAATTCAAGATTCGTTGCTCGCGCTTTTTGTACACATTGGTGGTCCATGATAAGGAGAAGGCAGAAAAAATTAAACAATCTCTACCGCCCGGTTTGCAAGTTAAAGAAGTTAAGTGAGGAGTGGAAGTAAATTACTCTTTCATTCAAGCAAAATATGTTAAAGTGAAATGGGTCGACGTTTTTTTTGAGGAGAATCGGCAATGAAATAAAAAAGGAAATACAAAGTGACATGGTTATGTGATTTTCTTTGTTTGTAGGCAATGAGGACATTTTAAAATCATCGCGGTACTTTATCTGACGTTGCTCATTGCGAAGTTATAAGATATAACCTATTTTGTGGAAGTGTATAGACTGCACAAGAAATCAAAAACCGAGGAATTTCTCTTGTTGTATTCTGAGTTTGAATGGGCTAGGGCAATGAAAAATGTGGTTATTATGTTTAGAAGCAAATAGTTGATTTTTCATTTCAAGTTGGTTGTGCAAAAGTTTTTTCTTCTTCATTAAAACATGACAAGACGATCTTCAATCAACTTTGTGCTCCTATCAGTTCCTATTTATTCACTTTCACTTAATTTTCGCTCCCAAAGCTTGCAAGATCAGCATTCCGGCGTACCTCGTTGTCCCCATTTGAATATTTTAAGGACGGTACAAATGAAATAAATGCCGCCTTGTATTAGTACCAACACGGCACAACTGTGCCTAATTTTGAACCGCTTTGATGATGAGAAGACCATAGGAATCTTATCACAATATGTTACTTAAGCGAAAAATATAAATACTTCATAAGTTTCTTCAGTAGATAAACGTCCGAAACTTGCTTGAAGCATTTAAGTGAATCCTTCGGCGTCTTGGTCTACTTTTGGACTTGGCAACTATTCAAGATCCGCTCCGAAACAAAATTAATTGTCTTACCTTTCATTAATTCTTACTGAAGCTTACGCATAATAGCAAATTATCATACGTATCTAATCGGATGAAGAACAACGTACGCATGTCTTCCTTCCTTAATCGCACCAATAAAAACATACGTTTATTAAAATTGACTTTAGTAAGCAGATATTAAATATTATGAATTCTTCATTTTTAAGGCAAGTTCGTCATCTTCCTCGCCCACGTCAAGCATGGCCTGCATGATTTTACGTTTCAACTTTTTGCGTGAGGTATCAGAGTATAAGTTTCGCAATTCAGTGGCAATAACATTGCCAAATGCGTCCCATTGGTCGTGCGTATTAGGGCGGCTCTCTAAAATCGCTGCTGACTGTTGAGACGATAGAGTGACAAACGATCCTGTCGTAGGATAGGAATCGCTGACACTAGGGCTTAATTGCTTGTTTGGAGCAGAAAGTGTTTTGCAATTACCGTTAACAATTTCTATAACTGTGTTTGTAATTACGGGTTTCTTTATCTTCGAGCTGTTAGTGGTCGTAGTGGGTGTCTGATATTTTTGATCATGATTTTCGGTTCTCTCAGAGTTTTCGAATTTGTTAATATCATCGTCAGGACGTTGAAAGTTCTCATCAGCATCCACCAAAGGATTCTCTTCTTCATCTATTTTTGCGTCGTCGCTAAAAAACTGATTTAATTCCTCCGGTATTGTAGAGGGATTACTATCATCGTTATCATTACCGGTGACGAATTCTTCTTGTGGAGTTCTATTGTACGTTTGTCTCAAACGCATCGTTTCTCTCTGCAAGATAATACGTTGATATTATGATAATCTTTTTTGCAAATAATTTTGATGAAAATACCTTCACTTTAGGTAATAGTAAGCTTGTCTGCATACTACCAGGTCTTGGTTCAATGACATCTTTTAAAAACATTAACGATTCAAAATGATTCCATTTACAACGCATAGATGAATTATTTACATCCGTATTAGCTCCGGCTTCTTCCATTCGTAAACTCAATTTTTTCATTTCCGAATTGAATTGATTGCGCAAATTATGTATTTTCTTGCCAAAATCGTATTTAGTAATTCGGAGTTTAGTGCATATTTCTTCAATGGCCCTATTACGCACTTCTTTAACTTTATAGGTGTCCAGATTATGATTCCATAAGCATTCATGTTTCTTATACATCTCAATTAACTGCGCTATTTTTTCTTTCGTCCAAGTGCAACTTTTTAGAGTTTCATATTTCATTTTGTGTATTTTTTTTTTTTTGTATATACCTTCGTAAAATTATTTCATATCAAAATCCGTGATACTTATTTTCTGCTTTTTAGCGCCCGTAAAATATTTTCAGTGGCTTGCTACAGAAAACACCTGTTTTCCTTGCATCAAGATATATTTTATTTCATACTTTTTCTTTTCTACATATAGTATAGCGTGAGAGAAGTTTTTTTATGGCGTTGGTAACTCTTCTTTTTTTCTTTCGCGAAAAATATGTAATTGCTTCGTAGAAAAGGATACGTTTGGTATCTAGATTGTAGGAATCTTTGCTGTTTCTGGATCTGTCTTCATAATTTCTCCTGAAGCATAACATTTTATTTTCAAATATTCATATATCAGAAGAGGGCTTTATGTGAAGTGTATTGTATTTGAATATTTTCATTTTCATGCTACAAAATGGTAACTCCGCATAAATTTTGTTGTTTTATGTCAAGCATATGTTTTTTGCTTAGGAAAAAATAAAATCTAATGAAAACAACAATTCAACATAAATTTCTATCGATATGTGTGATATATGCTGAACGGAGAAGAATATTTTTTAGAATGTTCTTTTTTTCCAAAAGTAAACTGGTTTTAGGATTGTTTTATTTAAATGTTTTTCTTTTTCAAACATGATGCTAAGCAAAAACTGATATAAGTGGTACATGTACACGCTATCTCTGCTTTTATTTTCTTTTATAATCAACAATCAGATATAAATTGATAATACTCAGAAAAAAACTCTCATGGCATTTTTTATCTCCGCTATTAGTAACAATACGTTTTAGGGTCGCTATGTATGTAATATTTTTTTTGCTTCTTTGTATTCTGGTCGTTACTTATTTGCAAGAATATGTGTGCAAGAATTTTCAATTTGAGAATAATGTCAAAAGCCATTTTTTTTAAAAAATGGCTGGGATACAGTACAAACTAAAACGCTGGTATTATATATTGTTTTTTTTTGGTAATTATACATGTTCTTTATTACAAAATTTTCAGATTGTAAAAAAGAAATGTATATCACTTGTCGTTTATTAGTAAAATTTAAACTTTAACAGGCGAGATTGGAAATAAAAGATCTGAGAGTGAATTTGTTTTCAAAGGCAACGTTTTCAATAGTTAGTTTTAATTGTAATACACAGATGGATAAGCAGACAAACGTGATTATCAAATCGAGCTTCGAAAACTTTGTTCCTTAAAATTTGTGCATCGATTCGCGCAGCTCTTAAGCGGTCTGGAAACATGATTTTTTTTTTCTTTATATTAGTATGCAAGTGGTGTGGGCAACTTGTACGAGAATATAATTTTCAATATCGTACACTAATGTAATGGAAATGGACTTTTCTTCAATTCTGAAATGATCTGCCGCCTATCACAACAACTACTCGTGCTATTTTTATGCAACTTTACATCATTTTATCGCTCCGCTCTTTTAATCAAATTACAAATTCATACTCTACATACACTCTTTGCCACGATTACGGAACAATGAATGAAAGTCTAGTTGCTTATAAGAAGAAATTTTGCATAAAATGAAACGATTGGTTTTCTGCTTTTAAAAGGAAACCATTGCTTCCTCCAAGTAACAACACATGGAAACTTGAGACGAATCGCCTATTTTTGGTTGAGTATCCGACGATCCATTTTCGTTTGAGCTATTATTTGTGGTTACTATTTTAGATTCTTTGAAAACTTGGTCAGTTTCCATTATAAAGTGGCTCTTGAAAAAGTTACTTCAGCTGTCGCGTCTACCAATGACTTCTAATTAAATGCAGTGTATAAATTTGTTATTATTATTATTATTATAATTTTAGACTAATGAAATAAATTCTTAGACAAAAAAAAAGACATTGAGCACTAGCAGCAAGGGCTATCGGCTCTATGTATAAATTTAAAATTTTTTAATTACTCTCTTCGAGCCGAAATTTGTTTACAATTACAAAAGCAACGAGTGCTAATTCTGGCTCGATCAATTGTAAACAAATTTCAGCTCGTATGAGAGTAACTGGCTCGTTCATTTAATTACTGTGAAATTTCGGCTCGTATGAGAGTAACTGGTTCGCTCATTTAATTACCGAAATTTGTGCTTTTCTGCGTCGAATGCTCTCTCTCTCTCTCTTTGATTCTGCAAGTGTTTTTTCTTTCAAATCTTAAAATTTGCAAAAGGAACAAATGCCGACCGAATTGCAAGGAGTTGCTTGCTTCAAAGTTACTACTCAAAACGATCAGAAAGATTTGTGGTATACCTTGCATCTGATTTATTATCTATTGTCTATTGTGCCGGTAGTAAATTTATTATTAAAATATAACCTTATAGCACATACACGGGCTATTTATTCACAAATCACAGTAAATAATTATATGAACCAATTATGTGCGTATATTATATACACCAAACTCTTTTTTTACTAGGTCTTTTTTTCATACGCTTTTGAAATAGCACGGTTCACCAATGAGAGCAAACATACATTTTTTTGTTCTAGCGCGAATTAAAAAAAAAAAAAGGTTTAGGCCCAAAAGTGTGTTAGTGACTTGCTGTACCGCTGCTTGGCCGTTACTAGCGAGAGCAATTCTTCACTTGACAGTTGCGTTAGATGATAGCATTTTTGATCCACTTCCTAATAAACGTGCACCACTGTTATCAAATAGTGATGGATGGTTGGAAAATTGATTTTTATTCCTAATTTCAATTTGAATTTTCATATGTGGTATGTACTTATGGACTGAAGTTTGACCGTACATTCATTTCAATTTGTTGTTTTTAATAATAGTGAATGATGTTTAATTTATAAATTCATAATTTAAGGATTACATTATACCTTTTTGCACGGTTTCTTTAAAAAAATACATCGAATTTTTCCATTTTATACGAATTTTTAAAAATTGTGTAACATATCACCATATTTGCCTTACGTCGCATGTATTTTCTTGCACAATTTTTTTTTTTGAGCGCTTTTCTAAGGAACCCATATACAGTGCAAAAAATGAATTGGGTATATGTTTCATAATGATGACTTCCCTTATTGCGATTTGATGGTGGATTCTAAAAAATTTTGAACACAAACTTTTCTTCTCTTTTCTCGAATATTCTTTGATAACAAAAGTTGTTATCATATGCATTTTCGCCTCTTGCGACATTTTGCCATGAAAGGGAAACTTTACTTGTCTCAAACATTGCATTGTGCTCCGAAAAGAGAGTACCACGTAAGTGCTTTTTGTTGTCCTGTTCTATGGCTTACATGCTGCTGCTATGCTATTATCACATTACTCCATTCCATGCGCTTCCCTCGTGCGTTCTCAAAAGCTGCGCAAATGAACTGCATCGGATTATTGCATTCATTTTCAATCGTTCCCTTGTAAGGGGCGCGTTTTCGATCAGTTTTTTCCAGCATGACTTCAATGTATGTGGCTTCGGTTCTTCCAATGATTCTTTTACGTTTACGATGCATTTTGCTATATCGAATTTCTTGCTGCATTCTATAACATTCATATCAGGATTACATTGCATACTATCCAATATGATTTTGAAGGCTCGTTTAATATAATAAAGCTTAAAGGCCTGGATTAATCTGCGAATAAAGAAATTTATAGCCGCGAATATAGGAATTGGATCGCATTTTTTTTAATCCGTGCATAGTGAAAACGCGAATGAAGGAAACGCGAATGAAGAGCTTTTACTGTATTGAAAATTTGACATTTTTGCCCTATGCAAAAAATTGCTCCATTCGATCCTACTTATCACGGCGGAACTAAGATCGAAATGCATTGATTTAGACGCGGAACTGCTGTTAACTGGGAGTCTTAACTTAATTGCAGTGAATTCAAATTTCCTCCCTCTCGGCGTCATCTAGCGTACAAGACCTACTTACATGACAAGAATGATTACAATTGGAAGACCTATTGTGAGCAAAGAAATAATGTCAAGCATGTAATTAGGAAATGAACAAATGCTCACTTGCTAAGTTTCAGAGATTCAAACAATATACAGATGGGGCGCAAATTACGCCAGTTTGGGTTCAAGGATGCTGAAGATTTAAGTGTAGATGCTGCTGAGGTGGATGCTATCAATCACCATTTTCTCAGCAATCCCTTAAACACCGCTAAAAATTGGTCAGCCTTAAATAACTACTACGGGCAATCCTCCTTTCGTGGGCTAAACAAATTTGAACTTTTTGCGGCATTGGATAAAATTAATTATAATACGCCAGGAGTGGATTGCTTATCTCTTAGGTTCTTGAAAATAATTTGACCTTGGATTGATGCTCGTGCATTTTTCATAGTATATTATTAATTTTATTTTTATTGAGTTTAAGATTCTCTAGCGTGGAAATGTGCGCGTATTATTCCTATCAGGAAAGGTGGCTAGTCGTTTGATTCATCGAATCTCAAGTCGATTTCAATCTTGTCTATTCTCTCCAAGGTCTTTGAACATATAATTAAAGAGCTAATTATGAGCCATTAACCACTAACGCTTACTCTCCACTAACTCCTTACTCTCCGTGTCTCAGCATGATTTTAGAAAAGATTTTAGCACCATCTCTTTGTTATTGATTTTTACGGATTGAATGGGAGCTATTGCAAGTGACAAGCATATCCTGGTGTTATTATCGTTGGATCTAACTAAAGCTTTTGAAAGAGTGTCGCATGTACTATTGATTTATAAACTCGTTGCGGTATTTTGACTTTTTGCAGTCAAACGTTGTTCTGTTCCTTTACAACTTCTGTCTGTGAGTGCTGGCAAATCTGAGTCGTTAAATGAATCGTCGCAGTGGTGTTCCTCAGGGCTTGGTCATTGGCCCTTTGCTCTTAACCCTATATATGAATGATTTCTTTAACAGGTTTCACCCAGCTTCGTGTAAGGCGTATGCGTTTACTGATAATTTATAGATTTTATTTGCGGAAAATGGTGATAATTTGGAAGGGTATCAAACTAACATTGACTACCGTTTGGACTGCATCTTTCGTTGGGTGCCTGCGAATGAACTTTAGGTGAAATGGGCTAAACGATAGGCTATGCGATAATGTCTCAGCTCCTGAATGTAGATCTAACGTCTTGCTCGAATGGTAGATGGTGACGACGATGGTGAAATTGTAACCAGCTTGAAATGCCTCGAGATGATTATCGAAAATAAGCTATGCTTTGATGCAGACATAAATGCTCCATGCTTTCCTACTTAGAAAATTTTATTTCATGAATGCCCATTCAAATTAAAATTAGATCGACCAGAGCTTTAATTAGGGCACTTATATTTTATGCTCTAGAAGTTTATAGTTCTACGAATATCGCAAACCTGAGTAAATTAAGACTGTATTCTCGTTGAGGCGGCATAACCATATCTCCGGTTATGTTCTTTGTTTTCTAGGTTTGTTCCTTTGTTAATTTTATTAGAGTCAATCTTCTCCTGAACCTTTACAATGTTATGCTACGGCAGGAGCTGAAGGGGCTTTTTAATCTTCTTTCTTGTAGTTGGTCAACTCGTAATAAGTATTTGTTGATTCCTCGAATGACGTGCTCTTTGGCCAAATCCTTTCAGATGAGAGTTATAAGGGCTTATAATTGTCTGTCTACGGAGTCGCTCTTATCTCACTTGCAAACGTAAACCTTTGATCTTCGCCGCTAACTAATTAACTAATTGCTTAATATCGAGGCGAAAGTATCGGCGTGATATGTGTCTTGCTACGTTAGTTGCCTTCATGTTCCCTTTTTATTTTTAGTTTTTATTATACCCACCAATGAAGGATGGGGGTGTAATCCTTTCTGAAGCATAATAATTCAGAGTTAATTTCGTCTTAGCGCTACTGCGTCGTTTAAATTCCCAAAGCTTGATATGTCGAAGATGCACTTTTTCTCTCCCCATTTCAGAGGTTAAGAGAAACAGTTGAATGTAAGATGCACCACATAAAATAGTTGACTGAACACTAACTGACTCCTCAGTTATATAGTGAAAACAAAAACTCGTTTGATTCGGTGACCTACAGTGGGTAAATGCGAACAATAGATTCTACCTAACTGCATCGGAAGTTACTTAAGACTCTACTTTATATATTATCTGTCTAAAAATGGGTTAATTCTAAATTGAATACGAAAGACAAGGTGATTATTTTTATCTTAATAATACCAGCGATATGGCTATCAAATAAATGCACTTGTAAAGCAGAATGCAAGAAGTTAAGTGTCTTCATTCTAAATTAATGATAGATGTTAGTGATAGATGTCACGATAAGGTGGATAAATGTTTTCTTAAGAATATTTTCGATCTAGGTATCGAATGCAAGGAGTTGGAGACTAGAATGCACGAAATGGTATTAGTTACAAATTAATTATGGTGGACGTTTAATATATAAAGGCTTGGAGCAAGCGTCTATGTGATGAGTATGTGAGATTCGGATTCCCGAATATAACTTTCTTACTTGCTTTTTTCTCGTTAACTTCAATTTTCTTTTTTTCTCCTTTGGATTGTTTAAGAAGATTTTGTATTATTGTAATTTATTATTGTACCTATGATAGACATTGTAATGGCCTTAATGGTTTCGAAGTTCCATAAATGAATGAATCAATGAAGCAAATAAAATATAAGGTGGAAAGAAGGTGGACGATGTACATACAACTTTGAGGTGTAGTCAAATTGTATAAAAATATGATTTGAAGACGCTCGCTTTAAGCTAGGCGACTTGCCTATAGCATACCATACTACGAACTGTAGTGATTGGATTTTTGAGGTATTTAAAAAATTTTTTTTTCTAAATGAATGCTGCCGATAAAGTTGGTGAAGGCACACACATCCATTAGGTTACAACCAAAAATTTATCTATCTGCTTTTCTTTCCGACCGTCATCGTGTTCGACGAATAAGGCACCATCCCTTGAGTGAGTTACTAATGCTGAATTTAAACTTGGAAAGAATTATTAAAAAAAAAAAACAATTCCCAGAGATATTTAATGTAATCTATTTATTTATTACTTATAGTGATGGGTCTTTTGGCCACTGCAAGTGGGCTGTGATAGAGTACTTCAAACCTAGTAGTAGACAAACTTTTTTATTAAATAATTCGTTCCAGTACATAAATCGGTTTTTCGCAAATCAATTCGAGAAAGAAACCCGCCGTTTAACTACAGAGTATCCCTGAGAGAACCATTCGTCTCCTAAATCTTGTTGTATGCGTTGTTTGGATATGCGGTGTTGCGCATTCGTCGGTAGTGTATTGGTATCTTCACCATGTCTCAAGTAATGTATCACAGTGAGCTACATATATGCGTTAAGAAAGAAAAAAATGATCGGAATTTCGACAGTAAATTTCTTGAAATTTTTGTTTTTCTTGTGCAGAAAAAGAGAAATTTTTTATTACTAAGATATTGTTATCTAAAAAAATATATTTGTATATAATTCATTTTTATTTAAGTAAATTCGTTACCTAAGGCTAAATTTAGAAAATAAAACATGTTCTTTACGTTACGTTTTTTTCTTTTTTCTTTTTTTTTGTTTTTTTTTTTTGTTTTAACTAATAATAATAAAAAATATTAATTTTTCCTTTCGTATATTTCTTTTTTAGTAAATTACAAGTGTGTTAGTAAGGACTATATTCTAAGTCTATATATATATATATCTACACATACATATATATATATATATATATATATTTACACATACATATATATATATATATATATATATTTACACATACATATATATATATATATATATAAACTGCATTTATATATACACATATATATATATATATATATATAAAACTGAGGTAGTATTTAATTGATTTGATCTTATTTAATGTATTCCCCTTAAGAAACAACAGTGCGTTTCATAACTTTTGTTTAAAATATAAGATTTTTTAAAAATAACATTAAAGGATATTTTATTTATCAGATATATATATATATGCATTTATATATATTTTATATATATATGAACAAAAGACGCAAGAATACTGTTATTGGCACTCGATATGTTTATGGTATGCTGTTGCGAAATTTTGGTTTTACTACAAAACCTCTTTTAAGGAATGTGTGCACAAGATTCGCGGGAAAAATTAAAAATTTATTAAAAAAAAAAAAAAAAAAAATTCCTTTAAATGAGCACAGCTCCGCTAAAACTTGTAAATATGAAAATAAACTTGACTTTATAACGAATAAACGAAAGATGAGAACAAATTAAATTAAGGTACTTTCGCCTGATAGGTCGAATTCTGTTTATATATATATAACGCAAAATTGTTTAAAAAGTTTATTTTACTCCAAATTTGTTTTAACTAAGTGATTTTCTATTTCTTTCTTTTTTTTTTTTTTTGGAAAAATAACTGAACATTTTTTCACTCATCACCATAAAAATTGTGTGTATTTTAATACACTTTAACTGTTCATGCGTTTACTGGCGTATTCTTGTAGTTTTTGTAGAGCGAGAGTTTTATTGATCTCAACTAGATCACGACTGTACTTGGCCGTCTGCAGTTGAACCTCGAGTATGCGCATGCGCATGATGTGTTCCTTGCTTTGCATTTCCATAAAAGCTCTAAGCTCCGGTGAGGTGTCGTCAGTGTTTGAGATTTTTGTATGATTGCTTAACGAACTCGCGAAATTCGTAAGACCGTGATTAACTTCGAGATTTTCGCTGTCTGCTGTTACGGTGGCCGCAGGTGTTGCGTTGCTGCAGCTAGAGGTACGTGGTCGTTTCATCGGCAATAATTGTTCGTCGCCTGAAGTTTGCGATTGTTGTTGCAGGTGAGTTTGTAATTGCTGTTGCTGTTGTTGTTGATGTTGTTGATGCTGATGTTGAGCGGCGGCTGCAAAATTGTTTTGTAAGGCTGCCGCAGCTGCTGCTGCTGAAGGAAATTGACCATTGCGTAGAGCATTTAAGGCTTCTAAAGTAGCGGATATACTATTCATGCTGAAACTTGGCTGAAAACCGCTTAAATCGTTAACACCCGCTCCCATAAAGCTACTGCTTGATGGCTGTTGATCACCGCACGCTGATAGATTCGCAGGACTTTGCACGCTCGCACGCTCTAAATCATTTTGCAGGCGATTTGTGGGCGTGCAGTTACTTAATCTATCGCCTCCGCCAGCACCATTAGTTAACGAGTCATGGCAGGTATCATTTAGGGTTTCATTTGTTTCATCTTTAATATCAACATCACCCAATTCCTGAGGTGGTGTACGGCTGCTACTTAATAATTTGAAGTAAAAAATGTTATGAAAATGTTAAGAATTTATAAGTTTTATATACCGCATTAATTGACTTACTCGTCGATGTCGTGCTCCTCTTCATTGTTATGCTCATCTTCACGGTACTCGAAATCCTCTTCCAAAGCCAACGGTATCTTTGAATAATCGATGCCGTCTAGAGCTTCTGATTTACAAGCTTTCTTAGCTTCTTGCATGAATTCCCAAACTTCAAATGTGAAAGGTGAGGGTTTTTTACGATCAGCAACCTCCGGACCGTAGCGTGCTAATCGGTTATTATAGTCTAAAATTTCGTTACGTGTACAAGCTAAATACAATTGAAAAAATTTTTTTAAGGTTAGGTTTAAGAATTAAGAAAATTATGGTTATATTTAAAGAGTTTACCTTTCATTCGACGCCATTGTTCTTTTAAACGATTACAGGTACGATCCGTACCGAATTGATTGGAAAATTTTTGATGTATAATTTTCCAAGCTTTATTTTTAACTGCCGTTAAGCCCGCATCAAGCCGCTTGTTCTCTATAATTCTCATATCTTTTCGACATAAATCCAATAAAAATTTTTTCTCTTGATGATTCCAATTTTGTGTGCGTTCACGTTTTTTGTACATATTCATGGCGGGACTGTTCAAATATTGTTGCATTTCTAAAGAAAAACAAAAAAGGAAGAGGAAGAAGAAAAGTCCAAATATAAGTGATTGCCTTTTACTTTACTTTGGAGACGTATGATTTTTAAAAAAAGAAAAGGCAATACATGGAATCCATTTTATGCCCACGAATGGAAGGATTGTTTTTTTTTTTTTTTTTTGGAAAAATACGAAGGGAATGAAGTGACCTTTCCTTGGATATCACATGATTATAAAGCGACCTAGCTTCGCGCATCTGTCCCTCCCCATCTGCCGGTAAATATTTTTTTAATCGTAGCAATGATTCCGATTCACATATACATTCCAATTTTCGCTTTTTAGTGGTGGCGGTAGAGCAAGCTATATATTAGTAAAGAATGCTAAAGACCTGGAGAAGTTTCGAAAAACATATAGCGACCTAAAAGTCTCTTTAGAAAGAGCTATGAAGAGCATGAAGAAAGGACTCGGAATCCACACACACATACACACGATTTAGTCAGGACTAATTTGCCTAATTAAACTTGTGGCAGTCAGTTGGTATTAAAACGTAACAAATTCAAATCATTTGCCTGTTGTCTGATAACGGAAAATCGACATTATTTGTCAATAGAAATTATGGGCGCAGAAAGTCGGGGACACAAAGCTGGCAACAGTTCGAGAAAGTTATGCAATGCATTTAGATTTTTGCTTATATTTGTGAAAAGATATCGTGCGCAATATTATGTAAGGTATTGTCTCCATTGGCAGCAAGGTACACTTCAATCTTTACCGCTCACACGTAGGGTGTCAATACGTATTGATTGGAAAGAAACATCGGATGTTGAAAATGTTGACGTTTACAGTCCCCTTTTCCAAATTTTGAAAGTGCCTAGCTGGGCGGTCGAAATCCAGCCCGATTACCACAAGTGCCGGGGTATGTCGAATTATTACTATTGGTGTGTACAGACCTTCACCACGGTTATTAAATGAGATTTATTCTTCGAAAACCCCAATAGACTTAAAGCAGCGGTGTAATCGAGAATGGTTTAATAATATATGGAATAATTTCGCCATTGACTTCAAAGGCTGAAGAATTTTGTTTTGGTAAAGATTTTTTATTGTACCCATTAACGGGGTACAGGGGCTCATTTTGTCAAAACGCAACGCCCAGAAGTATACCTCAGATCCCCCGCAAGGTACATATATTTTCTTGATCAGCATCAAATTTTGAATCGATCTAAGTATGTCCTTCTGTCCGTTTTTATAATGTCTGAAATGAAGCTATCGACTTCAAATTTGGCAGAAACATTGGAAATTCTTACACGTAGATTGGTATTGAAAATGGAATGAATTGGCCTACACTACCACGCAAACTGAAGACACCTCTGTTCGTCAAAAAGAATAAAAAGTTGGTTTTTTGCTCAATACTCATAAACTACGGCGTATAAGTCAAAAATTTGAACGTATATTGTATGGACGACGCTGTAGTATCTTAATCTGATAGTCTGTCATAATTTTTTTTTTTTTTTTCAAAACCTTTACAATGCGCAGAAGCAGGTTTCAAGTTGGAACACACCTAAACATGTGTGTCTGTTCGTCTGTCGATCTGTCCGTGTACATAATATCTATATACCGTTAGCGGAAATGAAGATATTGACTAGGCTGTTGCGAAGGTGCTTGAAAGTGACCCAAAGGAGATGTCTACAACACCTACACAGCTATACGGCAAAAACTTTTATTTTGAAGGTAGAAAAAGTCAGCCGCGCTCACTCTATGCTAAAGAGGATGAAAGCTTAATTTTATTACTTTTTTTATCATTTTTAGGATAATGATGGTAGGCGCATAAAAGATTCGGTCACACCCGTATATGATTTTCTTACTTGTTATTGTTATTATTATTATTAATGTCATCATAATTTAGTTGGAACAAAGAAATAAGCTAAACAAGGACCCAAATAGTATAAACAGTAGCAACTAAGGCTATCGGGTCAATTTTTTAAAAAGATGGATGAGATGGTTACTCTAGTCATTTCAACAATATTAAGTATGTTATTGGTACTAATTTCTCCAGGTACTTTCAAGATGTTGATCGAAGAAGACGCCTTGAAATTTTTAAAGAAATAGTTTGTAGTTAAAGTCTAGTAAGTCCGCTTCGAAACGGCTTCTTGAGCATAGGACTTTATAAGGAGATTTTCTATGCGATTTTTTGTTGGACGAAAACAAGTCACATATGTTTAGATAGCGGACAGTCAGGTAGACAGCATAGGCATGCTTATATTGTCAGAAAATAAAACTAAAATAATGGACACAGAACCAGTGGGTCTATCTCAAATTCTCTTTGGGCATTATATGCAAATTCAAACTATCATAAATAATATGAAGGAGCTTGTATGTGAAAAACATAATGGGAGTTATGAAAGCTTACCGCATTTTATATCCATGCCTTCCAAAATACTATGATTAGTATTTTGCCAATTGGCGGCTAATTTCATGAAGGTCTCCAAATCGGTGGCTGAATATTGTTTATTAACCTGAAATGAAATAAAATGTAAAAAAAAAGTAAATGTTTATTGCTTTTTAATAGAAATAATATCAACTGCATATATGATATCGACTATGATATCATTTATAAACAATTTTCCTCTACACTGGTCGTATTAGAAAATACATCTAAAGAGTAAATAAAGAAAAGGTAGACAAACGACATTTGAAATCTGAGTAGGCAAGCATGCACATCACTTGGTTGGTATTGTATCCGATTTATATGATTTTGTGTTTATACCTTGTGCCCAGTATACTAAGAAATGTCCCTTACAAAACACATTAAATTACAATTCTAGCATAACAATGTACAAATGTTCGTCGTTAAGTGACTGTCGATCGGTACGCGAACCGCTTTGACAGGAAGACCATATTCTGTATTTGGTCTGACCAGAAGAGTTTGGTGTGCTATGAGCTGCTAAGGCATCGTGGAACGGCCAATATCAAACGCTACCAACAATTTTATAATAGTTTTTTACAGGACATCCGTCTATCCGCGCCTATAGCAAAACCGTCGGCATCTGTAAATAGTCGGGTCGATGAAAAAATGATGCACTTAGCGATGGACAATAATAATTCGAGATTTACGAAAATTCCGATTTTGCATTGACGACATATCTGTTAATAAGAGGGAAGAATTAATTTTATATTGCATCTACGAACAGCTGAAGCAATAGAGCAAAAGAGCTACAGCAACTTTCACCTCACGTTTGTCGATTGGACTGCTTTTCAGCTGATAGTTGCAATGATCCCGCAATAAGTGTTGAAACGGTTTTAAGTGAATATGTTCTACGTTCTATGTTGTTCTATGTTGTACGCCTTGCGCCTTGAAAACACAAACATCTGGCATAATGGGGACAATTATTACCGGCAGGTTACTGCAAACATCGCCTTATAACAAACATTTCCCCATTGAAAATTTAGACGGACTTCGTATCGAATAGTTTTATCACCAACTGTATTATATTTGCTGTCGGTTATATGTTCAAATTTTATTGCTTATTGTGGATGCAGCTGTGGTAGAATAACACTTTTTAGCAAACTAGACCTTGAATTAGAAGTTACTAATATAATACATACGCTACCTTAAGTGTTCTATCTGAAGAATATATGTAGGCGAACAAAGGGAAGAAAGAACGTAAATAATGCGGGTGATGGGTATAAAGTAGAAGTTCTGAAGTTAGTAAATGAAAACTTTGCCTATTTCATTTTTTCTCCATTCGCTTCTTTTGCAATCCTTCCTCATCGCGACATGTATAAGTGAAAGTAACCGCAAGAGTGATTGTTCAAACACAAATATATGTCAAAATTTATTGGAAGCAAGCCACGGACGGCCAGTGTCTTATGTTGATAACTAACGTGTATGATTTATGGTAAAGAAGAGGTACAGACAACAAATCTGCTGGTAACTCTTTCTCGAATGATGTGTGCAAAAAAAAAAGTGTTGAATAAGGCTCTACAACTAGTAGGAAACGATTGACGCGGACTTCGTCTACTCCGTTTTCCCTTCATTAATCCCATCCTTTCTGCCTATGCATTTAAGAGTAAGAATAAGAGTAAGGCTGACTACTCGTACACAAAAATTGTGTAAAAATTTGTTCAAAGCAATGGACGGACATAACGCGATTTAGAATTCCCCGATAATTGCTTACTAAGCGGATTTTATAAGTCTGCCAATAACTCAAACGGATATTGAAATTTAGCACTTGGTGAATGATGGGTAAGGGGCAGGATTCGTTACAGTTCAAAAGGCATTACACGCACATGCCGTCGTACAATTATGTGTTGTGTCAAAAACATGCATATGCGTTATTGTTACTTTGCTTTACTTAAAGTCTTTAACAATGATTTTAATAACAGATGCCATTAGTTGATGGGTGATGGTTGGTGCTGTAGTGTTGTGTTGTGTTGTGTTGTGTTGTGTTGTGTTTTGTTGTATATTTGGAATATATCCAGAAACCAGCAATTATTAAGTACATTTATGTATATGCGCCATATAAAGTTATAACATGCGTGTATATGCATATAGGCAATCAAAATCAATAATCACTTTACTAAAAATAAATTAAATTCAATTCAATTCTTCTTTCCTTCCTTTCTTTCTTTCCTTCGTCGTCGTTATTTGCTTTAAGTGGTAGCTGCTTGGAGCCAAATTATGATTTACATACAAAAGCCAAATGTAACAACAACAAACGGTGAACATTGAAGTAAGAAGAGCGAAAGGGGGGAGAGTGAGAAAAAGAAGGAGAAGGAATAGGAGAAGGAGGAGGAGGTGGGGAAGAAACAGATTTCTTTTCATTCTTTATAGTACAAATTAACACATTGATGCTATTCTCTATTAAATAGACTTGTATACGGACGCAAACTATAGCGTTTTATTTACAATAATCCCAACGTTTGTTTTATAAAGAATTATGTGAAAAATGAAAAATAAATAAAAAAAAAAAAATAAAAAAAAAAACTATATTTGTATTCATTACTTTGATGTGTAAATGATGGAAGTAATAATAATAAAAATAATAAAAATAATAACAATAATAATAAAATTAATATGAAACATTTCAAATTAATTAAATTTTGTATTTATTTGTCATAATTTCAAAATGTTTCTTTTTTCATACTTATTTTGATTTCTTAGATTTTTATGTCTTAATATTTCATTACTTTCCATAGAAATATATTTTTCCTAAAGTTGTAATAAAACCGATTTGATAGTGTACGTGTGGATTTGCGATATATTCCATCGAAAAGCATTGGAAACTGTCAAATAAGAAAAAAAAAAAATTAATTTACTGATTAAAATTTACTTTTAATTACCTTTAATTCCACATGGATTAGCTTTAAGTCTTTAAGGTTATAGTTGAATTTTTTTATTTTTTTTTTTATGCCCTACGCACCATGTGGTACAAAGTGAAAAATGATTACAGAAAAATATGTTCTCATCAAAGTACTGATGTCTTCCCTTCTTTTACTGCCCTTATATCACATTTTATTCGCCACCCAGGGTTGCGTTTTTAGCACGAACAAAAAAAATGGGAAAACCTTGCTTAGCATTTAAGCTTCGATTTCGAGAAGGTACATTGACTTTCTTAATTCGTTTCAGTAAACACCACTCACAGTACTATGCACTTTTAATTTTTATCGATATATCACTACTGAGTAATTGCACTCGAAACTAGTTGGGGTCCAGGTACGTATTAAATTTGTGCGGATGTATACAACATCCTGAACAACATCCTGGGGCAGGTGCACCTTGTGAATCGATCTAAGCTTCTCTGTCCGTCTGTCTGTCCTGTATTTTTATTTTCAGCCTGCAACTTGTGAGTTATTTCGATCAAATTTGATCTACCGACGTGTTTTGGGCTCTTTTTCGAATACTTTCCATGCAATGCATTGTATTTCTCTTCGCCAATGCTTTCTCCTGACGATAATCGAACTACTTTTTTTCTCATCAGGTGTTTTTATGCTCATCACCGAAGGATGAGGGCTATATTCATTATGACAAATCCTTTGCAACGCCCAGAAGGAAGGTTCAGAAATCCCACAATTTAAGCATGTCCGTCTGGCCGTCTGTTGTGAAAATTCTCTTGATCACAAAACTGAAGCTAACGATTTCCAATTTAATCGAAACATTGGAAGGTCTTGCAGGCAAGTTGGTAGTGAAAATAAGCCAAATCGGTCAAAGGACATTACGTAAATTGGAAACACCTCTCATTTTATGCCAAATATTCATAAACTGCAGCATATAATAAATCTAGAAAAATTTGAGCGTAGATTCTATGAGCGATGCTGTAGTACCTGTACAAAAATGGAAGAAATTTACTACGCCTTTCAAATATAGGATACACTTAAACATGTCCGTCTGCTCCTTTGTTCATCTCTTTGTCTGCGCAACTGTGTAGTGTTTGTGGTAAACGTTTTGCCGCTAACGAAAATGAAGATATCGCTTACAAATTTGTGAAGGAATTTGGAAGTGAGTTAAACTTTTTCAAGTACACGCCTACAACGCCTGCAAGTCTGTGCGACAAAAACTTTTATTTTGAAATAAAAATTTACTTTTTTTTATCCTTTTTAGGGTGATAGTGATGGATAAGACCGAGCTTAATTTTCTTACTTGTTGCCTTTTTTGGGATAAGGGTGATGGGTAGAAAAGATTTGCTTACGACCGAATATAACTTTCTTACTTATTTACTTTAATTATATCCAAATCCTTTTCAAAATGCTTAAGCAATATTCTCCTATTATTATTTTAGCCGTTTAACCCTAATCGAACCATATCGGACCTTTAAGGCTCATTCGCACCGTGAACTTAAATTTCTTAATTTTTTTTTATTACGAACAAATACTTGTAAATTTACACTTGGCCATCGTGGAAGATGAGCTTCGCATTCTCACAGTCAGCAAAGAATTCCCTTTCTTGGACTGGAAGGACTCATCATTATGAACTGAACCCAAGTATATAATGTCTGTTGCAAACTTTCTCTTGGCCGCAAAAGCGAATCTGTCGCCTTCGAATTTGGAGGTTCTTGCCCGCAGGTTGGAGATGAAAGTGAGCCAAAGCGATAAAAGGGCGCGCCTACAGTGCAACATAAAATGAGAACATCTTTGCTTTCGGTGTTTCAGGTTATTACTTACAAGCTGCAATTGACAAACCATAAAAGCTTTCAATTTATACCCAATAAAATTGAGGTAGTCGTGATGGATTATCCATTCTGTGTTATAAGGCTAAACACAAGGTAGTAAGACGGACAGACGGGCAGGCAAGCTAAGTTGGATCCAGAAGGTAACTTTGATTCGATAGGTATAATAAAAAGCTGGGTTTGTCTCAAGTGCTTCTCCGTGTTGCATACATATGCATAAACCTTATGTAATCCTCTGCCGCAAGTGGTATAGGGTATAAGCTAAGGTTAACTGTTTTCGTACTGTTTTAGCAAAGATGACGGTTATTAAAAGAATCGCTTCAAAGCGATTGATTATACTTTTGAGTGTG